TGCTGATGAATGATACTTTGTCATTTTGTTCTAGTAAATACTCTTGAATGTATTAAATTGTTATGCTTTGAGTTTCTAGTTTGTTCTACCTCTCGCTGCCTCTCTGACCTTATGCAGGCCAGAACTCTAGCCCTCGTGTGGAACTGGAGAAGGCATGGGTGCACCCTCCTCAGGTTCACCTGCTGTAGCACCCTGAAGGCAACTCTGGACAGAGGGTGGAGGAAATGGATGAGCCCAGAGGTTCTGGCCTGCCCTGAAGCCACATGGTATCTGTGGCCCATCTCAAGATCCCATCTTAGAGTTAGCATGTGCCACAGGGTAGTCCCTGCCTGAGTGAAGCCTCCCGAATAGCCCACACATTGGATCAGGATGTCCCAAAGGTTTTTGTTTGGTTGTCTTTTCTCTTTATAAATGTTAACTTCTAGAGATGGATGTCAGGATGTATAAAATTACAGGGGTGGGGCATTCTACCTAGTGGTAGCCAGCTAGGTAGTTTTTCCCTGTGCATCTCTTTTATTGCTGGGGTTCGAAATCAGCAGGACCTTGCATGTCCTATACAAGTTCTGTGCCTCTAAGCTGCACTCCAGCTCCTTGTGTGCATCCTGTGTGTGGTATTTTCGAATCCAGTGTGGTCAGGTTGGACAACACTTTCTTTCCACTTTGCACATGTCACATGCAGAAGAAATCTGTGGGCTTACCATCTGTACACAGGGTACCCCATGATGAGCATCCTGCCTGGGCATGATACCCTCCAGGATTTGGGGTCCCAGAGAGGCCAAGACTCTATCTGGCATGAGTTTGGATATGTCGTCAGAGTGCCCACAAGCCATGACCTCCAGTGGAGCCAACACTTCAGGTACCCTGAACAACCCACGTGACCCTAACTCAAGCCTAGAGTAAGAAGGCCCTATGCTGAACGTTTGGAGCTGTCGTGGCAGGGGCCGGACCAGGACTGCTCCAGCACTTGCTCACTGTCTGAACATAGGACTTGTGTCCTACTAAGCAGGACAGCAGGAACCTGTCGCATGGCAAGAGGAGAGCTGAGCCTGCCTATGGCACGTTGATGTGTCCCTGAGACAGCATGGGCTTCTCCAAAGAAGGGCATTCCTTGGCCCTGCCCATTGCATGTTATATGCTGACCCCAAGGGGCTTCTGTGTAACCAAGTTTATCTGCCAGGAGTCCCTCAGTGATAATATCCTTCTTTATCATAGACCTGGTATTGCCTATCCCAGCCAGTACCTTGAGGGGAGGTTCAGACCTGTGAGAGGCAGCTCTATCAGAAAAGGAAAATAGGTTCCTGGGAAGAAAGAGGTAAATAGAATGTTTTCCAGACCCCTATATCTACAGCCTCTGGAAGCCAGGGGACCCAGTGACCAGCTCTTACCCTATCCTGACAGGGTTAGCTAACACTTCCCAAAGTCTCAGAGGGGCTACACTGTTTGAGTTGGTTCCTCCAGCGGGAAGTGATCGGACATGAATGGTCTCAGTGTGTGGCCACTCTGCTCCAGTTTGAGTGGTGAAGGTGGAGTCCCAGACTGCCGTGACTCCAGTCTGGTGGGACTCTGACAGCAGCAGGTTGGATTCCCCAGGAGGAGGCCAGGTAGGAATAGGAGAGGAAGCCACATTTGGGGCTGAACTGGTATGAGGGTGGGTCAGAGGCATGTGGTTTGCCTGTGACCACCACCAGGCCCAAAGCAGCCTGGGAGGACTGGTCTTTGTCACCAAAAGTTCCTAGAGGGTGTCTGCATGGCCCTTTGTGTGAGGAGGGGCCATTAGGGTCTCTGCAGTTTGGGAGCTGAGTCCTAGGAAGAGAGAGAATGAGATCTTGGAATGGCTACGAGCAGGTGTGCTCTCACACTGTTCTTGTGTGGGCTGGACCCTAGGGTCTTCCCCAAGGTAGATATGCTGGAGCTGTCTCGACCTCTGCAGGTGCCTAATGCCAGGCATCCTTTAATGCGAGAGAGGCCTGGTGTGTCCTAGGGCTGGGGGTGCAGAGAGCACAGGGAGGTGGCTTAGGGCCATCCTTGGGAGTGGTAAAGGTCAAACCCTGGCATAAGGAGCTGTAGAGCAGTCACTTCCCATCATGGGGCCAAGACAAGGCTGTATACACCTGTTGGCCTGTCTACACTACTGCACCAGATTAGCTCCAGGGTTGGACTCCTGGTCAGCTGCTCTCCGTCCCAATGGTAAGAAGTAGATACAGGATGGAGAATTTTCCCACAAGGCTATAGGTTGGGAGGGACTTGCCCTTCTCTCTGCCATGCTTGAACAACCTGGGCTGCTTCCGCTCCCATTTTGCCTTTTCAGGGGTTGTCCCTCTGAGGATGAACTTAGCCTCTTGCTCACAGGAAGAAAATTGAGCACTTGGGGTGGCCTGGGGTTCTCAGGGGACTTGGCCCAGAGCCCACTAGGCCCATAGTCCCCAGTCTTGGCGTGTCTTGTTCCCCGATGTGGCCCAGCTGGCCCTAGAGCAAACAATGAGGGTCAGAGGCCACGCAGGTGCATCCTGGGCAGGAACAAAGAGCTGGGGGTAGGGTGGAGGAGTGGTCTGAGAGAGGAATTCTGGAACATGACGGAGCCCAGCTGGCCCCACGGTTGGGACTGAGGAATTGGGACCTGGACATAAGGAAGGGTGGACAGCTGTAACCTTCAAACACTGCCTGGGACTACGAAGAGAAACCAGAGCCCAGAACTGGAAACCAAGTGGGCTGTCAGGGCAGGATCCGATAGAAACAGGCCTGTACCCTCCTCCTTTGAAGCCTTTTCAGGAAAACCCAGGCTCCTGATTGGTCTCAGCACCCATGAAAAGCCCACATAACTGGGAAGGGAGTCAGGTCAAGACCAAAGTGAACCTTTATTGTCTGGGAAGGCCTGAGCCAGCCTCTCGTGGCTTGGCACAGCTCTTCATGGCCATGTGGGCCTCTGGAGCTGAAACCATCCGGGCGCTGCCTGGTCATGGTGGCCTACGGAAACAGACAGTTTTTGTGGTGGGATGCTACCCATCAGAACTTAAGGGTGAACTGCAAGGGCCACCGGCTTTGTTTTCCTGAGGGCCAGTATTGGAAAGGAGGTCTTACTCCCTGTGTACCAGGCAAGCCCCTCTAGAGCAGTGGTTCCCAATCTTCCTAATGCTGCAACCCTTTAATACAGTTCTTCATGCTGTGGTGACCCCCAACCATAGAAAATAAATAGAATTATTTTCGTTATTCATAACTAAATTTTGCCACTGTTATGAATCAATGTAAATCAATGTAAATATCTGCTATGTCCAATAATCTTAGGTGACCTCTGTGAAAGGATCACTGGACCCACAAAAGGGTCACAACCCACTGGTTGAGAACCATTTCTCTAGGGGGCTCCTGGAGAAAGGTGCTGGGCTTTGGAATTGGAATGACTGAGAAGAGAAGCATCAGGAAGAAGGAGGGACCCCCAGAACTGGGCAAGTGTTGGCTTCTATTTCCTGAGTCCCCATAGCGCCTTTGGGGAGATTGTCAAGATAGTGTTCCCAGGACACGAGTCAGACATGAACAGGAAGGATGGTACTGCTCCTGCATGAGGAGGCCCAGAAGCAAGGTGCACAGTCAACCTGAGAATAGGTCCCAGCTTGGTTGTGTCCCCATCCTTAACCCCATGGTACTAGTTGCTGGCAAGTTCCAGGAGGTGGCTAAACAGAAATAACCACATCCCTGGAAGGCATATGGTGATGCATGGCGGTGCATGGCAGTGCCAGGGTTGCCCGGAGCTAGTCCTGCTTGATGATTATAGGGTTCTTCACCTGGGGATTGAAGCTAGGATGGCAGTACCTCAGTCACATGTGCTCCTCCAGGGGGGTCTCAAGTTTAATTGCATGCAGGTCCCTATTCTAACCAGATCCACACATGTGAGCACATGCGCACACATGCATGCATGCCTGCCCTCGACCCTACAGATGCTGTAACACTGGGCTGGGCTCATCAGATGGAACAGGAGGCCAAACTTGGGAGGGGTGAGCCAGGGAGGCTGCCAGGCCATCAAAGTCAAGCCCTGGAAAGTGACAATCACCACTTCAAAGGCAGGCATTTGGCTTCTCCAAGGGCTAGGCACCTGCATGCTCACTGCCCACCAGCTTCTGTGACAGAGTAAAGGGCAGCTTACAGAGTTATTCCTTCCCATGGACACCTCAGCCCTGGGGTCTAGCCTGGTTCTCAGCAGGCCTCTCCATGCTTGCCTCTACACGACAGCCTGTAGGTTCCAGGAAGGCCTTGGCCCTCAATGCCTGGGTGTATGAAGGGCTTCTTCTGCTGTGAACAGATGGAGATTTGCAAATCCATCCAGAGACCCGAGTCCAAGGCAGGCTTCGCCATCCGGCCACCTTCAGAACTAGGGTAGTGAGAGTAGGGGATTCCCAGTCCAGACTTCTGAGAGTCCTAGTTAGTCTGTGGTGCAGATGCAACTCCCTCCTTGCTCTATAGTTCAGAGCAGCGGGGGCTGGGGGGAGGAGTCACGGTCCCACAGGCTTCAGGAGTGTAAGAACAGAAAAGAACCTCGGTCTAAAGTCGGATGTGGAGCGGTAGAGAGAGTAACATAGCACCAGGGCAGCCTAACTCCGATAAAGGGCAGAACTGGGAACACCAGAGTGGTACAGACAGCCTGATGCCTTGTGGAGGAGCCACCGGAGAGGGGTGGGGCGCCAAGGCTTCATGGGTGGGGGCACCCGGGTGGGTGTGGGAGTGGCGCTGGAGGAGGCGGTCAGGACGCGTGGACCAGAAGCGCCCACGTTGGGGCAAGGGGTGCTTTGCTGCCAGACCCATCACGACCTAGCCCTTCCAGGGCCATTTCCTCTGATTCCCGCCTCCCGGCCTCGGTTTCCCCCAGCGGCGGGGCGGGGCGGGAGCAGCGCCGATTTCAAAGCTGCCTGCAGGGTGCGCCCATGAGCGGCGCGGCCGGAGCTGGAGCCCGGAGCGGCCTCTGAGACGGTGGGAGCCAGCGCAAGAGGCAGGTCAGCCGGGGCCTGGGTCTGGGAAACCGTGAGGGGTCCCGGGCGGGCGTCTTGGCGATCGTGGCCGTCGGATTCTGCGGGGCCGGGAGGTCTGAGCGGATCAGGACCCTCCCGCCCTTCGGAGCGCACGCCGCTCCCTCGGACCCTTCCTTCCTGCTGTCGGGAGGGGAGTCCGCGGGTGTCAGGGTCCGAGCCTGCCCTGGCTGCCTCGGGAGTGGTCGCAGCTGGGTTCCTGGGCGCCGGTCACATCCCCAAGTGCCGTGCCCCTCGGGGCGGTCCTCCGCGACCGGAAGGTGAGCCAGGGCAGGTAGCACGGAAGGGGCTCCAGTAAGGCAGGGCGGCGGGATGCCTTACAGTCAGTTACAGTCAGTCGTCTAGACCTGCAGGCGACGCGCCGCTACGACCGTCGATTTGTCCGCTCGGAGGACTGAACCTGCAAGCTCCCAAGTCCCTTTAGGGCGCGTCCCTGCCAAAGCTAGGCTGCGGACGTCGAGGCGCGGCCGGAGGTAGGCGGGTCAGACTCCCGGGTTAGGGGTTCAGGAGGGCACCAGCTTGCATCCAGGAAGGCACGGAGAAAGCAAGGGAGTTTGGAACCCGGGGGAGGGGAGCATCCTGTTGACAGTGGTAGCGGCAACCCGACTTAGGACACTGTGGAGAAGCCAGAGGACAACAGGGTGGGTGAGCGTCTGGGGCTGCCCGAAGCAGGGACAGAAATGGCGGGAACGGTGGCAACTCTCAAGGGTTTGGCAGAAGATGGGCAAGGGCTCTGCCTTGGGAACATTTAGACTAATTTTGCTAGTCAACACAAAGGGAGGAGCAGGGATTCACAGTGGTCCAGAGCAACAGAAGCAGCTGGCAGGTGGTCGCCAGGACTCCTCCCCACGACTAGGGCAGGCAAAACATGTATTCTCCTGATGGCTGGGGAGTCTTTTGGACCCCTCTCCTTGCCCACCCAGAGGCCGCACCTTGTCTCTCTGAGAAGGGAGCCTGCTTTCTGTCCTTGTACCTGGAACGCTCCGCCTCTGCTGCCCAGCTCCCTCTGGACTCCGTGTGCCTTTCAGAAGACTGTCACATCCAACCAATTTTGCCCTTGTTGTCAGGACCTTTAGGATGATGGTGGAGAGCTTTTAGGAAACACGGGTTTGGGAAGGCCTGCTTGTTTGGGTCTTCAAGGGCTCCTCAAAAACCGATGGGTCCCGAGACTATGGTGTCAAGATCTCAAAACCCAGCCCTTGCATTCTGGGACTTCCCGGGTTCTCTCAGGTTCTGGTGTCTCTTGGGCACACCCTAGCCAGTGTGCATTCTCTCAGAGCTGACCATGACTGTTGTGAGCTGGGGTGGCCTCCCTGTCCATGGCTTGAAGTTAGGCTAAGGGCAGTCCACACCTGTAGTAAGAGACAAACTTTGGGCCAGGCAGAAGAAGCAGTGGCTGATCTCTAGGGCCCTACAGAGGGACCACAGATTTTGATGTCCCAACTTAGGTTTTAATCTTGTCCCCTAGATGCACACTAAGTGGCCTTGGGAAGGTCCCTGCCCTGGGAATCCATTTTCCAATCTGTAAAGTAATGGTGTTCTTAGTAATGCTAACTCATAAGGGTATAGAGGAAGGGGAGAGGGAGATACTCTTTGGCTGGGTGTGCGGATAGGTTCAGGGTAAGGGATGGTGGCAGTGGGGGTTGTGCCAGAGGCCAGGTCAGGGGGCTCTGTGCTTAGGCTGGGTAACCCTGGAGAAAGAGGCAAGGATTGCTAAGAGTGGAGGAAGTGTGGACAAGAGTTAGCTTGGGAGCAAGCCCGTGGCTTCAAGGTGTCAGATTCTGCAAAGTCCAGGACCTGTAAGTGGGACCACAGCCCCTGGTAACTCGCTGTTACCTGAAATCAGCAGCTCTGGCCTCTAAGCTGCCCGTTCCTGAGCTTCCTCACCTCATAGAAGCTACAGTCTCCATCTCGGTGTCCTTTTGCTACAATCCAACCCAGGCCCTGCGTGGTGTGTGCATATGAGAGTAGAGGAAGAGAAAGCTGGGTAGATAGATAGATAGATAGATAGATAGATAGATAGATAGATAGATAGATGATAGATAGATGGATGGATGGATGATAAATGATAGATATAAATAGATGATAGATATAAATGATAGATATAAATAGATGATAGATATAGATGATAGATTGATAGATGATAAATAGATAATAGATATAAATAGATTATAGATAAATAGATGATAGATAGATGGATGATAAATGATAGCTAGATGATAGATGAATGATAGATGATAGGTAGATAGATAAATAGATAATAACTATAAATAGAAGATAGATAGATAGATAGATAGATAGATAGATAGATAGATAGATAGATGATAGGCAGGCACAGGTAGAAAGGGTTTTAATAAATGTGATGGAGGAGCTGAGGAGGTGGGAATTTACAAGTGAGGATGTTGCTACAGACAGGTACTGAGCTGGTAAAAGAGAATATCCCTAACTACCCTGGAAGAATCTTGTCCCTGGGACACACTGGGGACCACAGAAGGGTAGATCGTGACCTGGGGCACTCAGAGGAAGAAAGCTGTGGGGAGATTGGAGGGAGCAGATGTGGTATGGTACTTGAGAACAGGCCCTAGGTCCATACTGGGCCCCCCGTAGTAGCAAAAGATTAGGGGTAAAGACAGGGACCCCTGAAGACTGCTCATGTCCAGAGCAAGACCCAGACCCTGAGGTGGGTAAGAAGGAGCCATGTGGGGCAGAGAAGACGGTCCTAGCCCTGAATCTGGAAGCCATGAGATCCTGCCAGGTGCCAAGCAGGGATGGAATGGGGGGAAAAAGCAGCCACCTCACTCTAGGCCTGGGAAGGGGTTAGACGCTAGGAGGGCAGGACTTGGGCACTTTTCCAGGGCTACCTCTAACTTTATGTGCCTGGTCTCTATCCAGAGGCTCTAGCTACGGGGAGTCTTGACATTCGACCTCACAATGGCCTCTGGGAGCCATGAGCCAGTCTGGGTGGAAGCGCTAATGGGCAGAGGGCAGTGACAGGGTTCAGGTGGATCATAGTCAGGTTAGTCCAGTGTAACCCACTCTTTCCCTTCATCCTCTATGGCTGCATCATCACACCCATATCCTAAAGAGCTGAGCCGTGGGTGTGCACCCCTCCTTTCTAGTGTCCAGGCCAGCCTCCTGCCAGGCTTCCACCCAGAGGTCCCTTGTTCTGTCTTCAGGAGGCACAGCACCTGTCATCCACTATTTATGGCTGGCACAGGGGCTCAGCCTTTCATGTGATGCTCTCACCACGGCTTGTGCACATGGGAGAAGCCAAGGCACACAGGGGGGGTCTGTGATGGACATGGCATGGACCCTACTTGGGCTGCTCCTGTCACAGGCTACACCTCAAGCACCTCCATGAGGCCTGGATCCCGGGAGGGGCTAGATCTGCAGAAGCAGCCTGCAATGGGTGAGTGGCACCTGAGGTGAGGACTGGGGACCGGTGGTCTTTCTGGGTACCAGACCTGGACAAGTGGGCATGTCAGGGTCCATTCTAGGACTCTCAGTGGGAGAGAAGGGAGATGGTAGCCTAGGTCCTAGCTGGTGACAGAAGTTGTTTAGAAAGGCAAGCTAGTGCCCCAGCCTCCATCTGCAGAGAGCTGGTTCTCCCTTCCTGCCCACATCCTGTCCCCAGGAACACAACAGCAGCCACAAACCCATGGTTGGTAGGGGAAGGACATACTGGCCACCTGCTTATGTACTTGGGGCCCAGCCTTTACCAGGTATTAGAATTTGGGTGGCTGTGCCACTCTGGAGGGACCCCGGAAGGGAAGGGAGACCCAGACCACGCAGCATTAGGCCGTCTCAGAAGGCACTTGTCTTGTTGACTGATGTGTTTGGGAGGGGCTCCGTGGGCTTGGGGTCTTCCTGCAAGCCCAGCTGCTGCTGAGCCACTGCAGGACGCTGCTTTGGGTGTGAGAGGTACCAGCCCATCCCGCTGGGACTCTTGCTTGGTGTCATTCCACATATCAGCTGCTTCCCAAGGACAGATGTGGGATCTCCCCAATCTAGACTTGGTCTCTGGTTCCCGGAAGAATTCCTCGGTGTTCTCTTCCATCCACCACGGCCTTGGTCCTCGACTGGCTGCAGGCCTGAAGACTATCTCGTACAACATGCTCTTTATTTTGACCCCTGTTTTTCCTGTCTGGGATTTTATGCTTCTTGCTTGTATTTGCTCTCATGTGCCCGTGAGTTTGCTAGTTTGACACTTCCATTTTTCTTTCACGGGATTTTTTTTTTTTTTTTGAGACAGGATGTCATTATGTAGACTGGACTGGCCTCCACCTCACAGAGACCCACCTGTCTCTGCCTCCAGGGTGCTAGGGTTAAAGGTGAGGGCCACATCTTTTTCTCTTCCATAGTCTTGGATTCTTCTTGCATTTTGAAATCTGGTTTGCAGCTCCCCTGATGTGGGAGATGAGGTCCTGCGGTCTGGGGGGCATGGCGTCTAAGTATCTGAATCTCTAAGGTGGCAGCTGTCCTTGAAGAATTCCTAGTTTGTTTTTTTTTTTTTGTCTTTTGAGACCCCTGCAGTAGACTCCAGGACTGCAGGGGGCAAAGGTGGTAGCAGATGGCTCGGAGTTCCCCATGGCCCAGAAGACTAGGTAGCTGGTGAGCATGGCCTCTGAGAAAGAGGCAGCTGAGCATGAGGGCACATGCCCGTGATGTACCACTTAGGGACTAGAAGCGGGAGGATCAAGAGTTTAAGATTATACTTGGCTACATAGCAAGCTTGAGGCCAGCCTGGGCTATGAGGCCAGCCTGGGCTGCAAGTGACCCATCTCAAAATGAAACAACATCGTAAGGCTGGGGTTCTGGAGCCCAGGAAGAAGCCCAGTGCCGCTGCAATGGATAGTCTCTGTGCTGCTCTGTTCCGTGCGCTTGGCTACACCCAGGAGCAGTATATGGGAGGGAGCACTGTCTGGGAGCTTGTAGACACGTCCAGCAGGGTCTGGAGCCACCACCTAGGCATGTGTACACAGAGCCTGGGTGGGTCAGGAGATATGTGGGTCGGGATGAAGTGGTTTTAATTAAAGTAGCTGGATCGGGGTGGGAGGGAATGGGAAGGCAGAGGCAGTGTTGAGTTTGGCTGCTGGGACCCTAAGGGGTTGTCCCTTCAAGTCTGTAGCATGTGCCTGTAGTTTACATGGGACAGTTTCTGTACCCTGCCCTGTCCCCAACAAAGGACAACCATAAGGAAATGCAACATTATTAATATTTAATTACCCTTCTTGGCTAGCAACAGATGACTCAAGGATTAATTCGATAGAGCCAGCAGAGAGGGATAGGAAATTGCTAGGTCCTGGCTCTACAGTGGCCCCTTCCCTTGGGCCCCCAGCCTTCCCATGACTCTGGAGCAGTGGTTCTCAAACTTTTTAATTTCGCAACCCTTTAATACGGTCCCTTATGTTGTGGTGACCCCCAACCATAAGATTGGTTTCATTGCTACTTCGTAACTGTAATTTTGCTCCTGTTGGGAATCATAATGTAAATTTTTTTTTTGGAGATAGATGTTTGTCAAAGGAGTCGCAGCCCACCTTTGAGACCCAATGCTCTGGAGGCTTCACAGAGAGGGACTTCTTCTGCTGCCGCCCTTGGCATTCTCCAAGGACTATGCCACCCTCTAACGTCCCTGATAAAGCCGGGACCTTTTTTCACCTGTTCGGGCTGCAGCTTCTCATCTGAAAAATGGAATTTACCAGGCCACCAGGAACACAGCTTCAGGTCATTTTTCCACACTCCCAGGCAGCACACGCCAGCTCCTCAAGAGGGCCCAGTGTAGCCTTGGTATTCAGATCTACCACCACCTGGAGAGCACGGGACTTATCGGTTCAGCAGTGGCTAACATCTCTTGGCTGTGTGTGTGTGTGTGTGTGCGTGTGTGTGTGTGCGTGTGCGTGCGTGCGTGCGTGTGCGCGTGCGCGTGCGCGTGCGTGCGTGCGTGCGTGCGTGTGTGTGTGTGTGTGTGTGTGTGTGTGTGTGGTTCAGTCTGGTCAGTGATACACTAGTAGGTTTGAACTGGCCCGGCGGGAACATTCATACTACAAAGACAGGCTAAAGTCAGGGTGCCCTGGCCCTGGGCTCTTTTGCCTGCCTGTGGCTGGACAGTCTCAGCCTTCCCCTGCGGGACCCCTCCCTCCTGTCTGTCCTGAGAATGCCTCTGGCTCCGCCGGCCGATCTGCCAGACTTGGGGCTGGGGAAGGCTCAAATGAAAAGAAGGATTCTTGTTTGGCAGCTGCCCAGGTGGCCCTGGGATCAGAGGAGCGTCCCCTGGGATGTGCTGCAGTAACCGGGGCGGCCTGCAGGAATGTTGAAGGAAGGGCAGAGGCAAGGGCCCTGGGACAGGAACCTCTGGTGTGTCCTCAGCCGCTACCAGGCAGGCCTGGCTGGAGGACCAGCTGTGTTGAGACTGGAGAGCAGCAGGGTGGCCTCAGGACAGCCAGGAAGGGTGCTGGGATCCAGAAATACCCAACAGGGACCCAGCACGGAACATGAGGATCCTTGAGAACTGGGAGTACTCAGGCAGGTACCAAGGCTGCTGGGAGGACTGCAGCAAATGCGGGCCTGGGTCAAGTCCGTTCCAAGCCGGTGTCCTGCTGGTTATGGAGTCAGTGCAGCTACTGGGGGTCAGCGCTGGCGGTGTGACCATCAGCAGGGCCCTAGGCTCAGGGATGGCGCTCTCTCACCTTGACAGAAATGTATTGTGTTTCACTGCGTCCCACTGGGGACCTTGAGGATGGAGCATGGTTAGGGCCTGGGCCAGCTTTCTAGCATGGGGTGGTCTAATTGCAGACTGCTTTAGTGCCCTTCAATGCAGATTCCATGAGAGAAGGCCCAAGGGACAGGTGGTTACCCTTTTCTCCCCAGAAGATACCATTGGGAGAGTCGGAATTCTTGGAAGCCGGTGCCTCTCCAGGGGCTCACTGGGCCTGGTTGGGTCTGGTTGGGTCTGGTTGGGCCTGGTTGGACACTGAGCCTGCTTTGGCTCCAAACCTTGAAAGCTAGAGCACACGGTGGGAACTGTTGGTCCTGGGCTTGCTGTGGCCCCCTGATGAATGCTTCTGCAAAGTATTAGCCGTGAGCATAGAGGGACATGGTGTGTACCTGAAGGCGGCACACATCCTGGCTCCGGTCATTCGGCTGGGGACATGCATTGTGAACAGCTGGTTGGCAAATGGCTGGTGCAGAGTCGGGATTCACAAGGACTTAGCCCTAAGTGTCGCCGCCTCACTTTAGAGGCAATGCTGCCGCTTAGGTAGGAATGGTGATTCTGTCGGTTTCTGCAGACTGTGGCTCCCCTCTCCTAGCCTTGGGTATCAGCCTCCTAGTTGGGCAGAAGGTGCTTCCACACCAGCACAGCTGCAGCCATGTCTCCTCTGGCTCCAGACTGAAGCGCTGGTAACACCACAGAAGGAAACTTGAGGTTTATTTATTTCAGCCCCATCTTACCTCTTGGCCAATTTCAAGTGGAGAAGATCCTTCTCCCAAGGCCTGCGGTTCCCCTCATCCCTCCTCTCCTGGAGGGGAGAAGTAGGGAAGATGTGTCTACACGCGGGCACAACCGGGGGTTCCGTGAAGGTCCAGAAGTGAAGAGGATGGATTTGCGGGGGGTGGGGGGGTGGGTGGAGGGGATATGGCGGAGGAATCTCTTGCATCTTGCTTGGAGAATGACAGGCTATTGGAAGAGTCCTGCTTACACCGAGTTTTGTAAGTTCAGGGAGTAGAGCAAGAATTTGGGCTTGGCTGGGACCTGCTACAGAGAGAGCAGGACTTCCGGTTTCCAGGGGGGTCTCATCTCTTCCTGTGATCTGACTCTGGGGTAGCCTTATCCAAATCTGTTACTCCTTTCTCAAGGGATGGTGGATAAGTTCTGAAATGAGCCCTTGGTCATCTTTGGGGACCCAATGGTATAACAGTCTGAATGGAGAAACTGAGACCCAGAAAAGAAATGCATTCTTGCCCACAGTCCTCCAGTGAGTTCCCACTGAGCACCTGCTTTTCTAAAGCAGCATTCCCTGCATCAGCTAGGCAGAGGCACAAGTGGGGAGAGGCGTGGGAGGAGAGCGGGAGGCGGATCCCTCAGAGAAGGGAAGCAGACACGGTGCCCGCCCTGCCTGGCTGTGCAGCCTGCTGGCAGGAGCTCTCAGAGCGGTGGGTTTGGTTGGACCCTGCTCCGCTACCTGTGAGGGTAAGAGTGCTTACTTGCTGGAGCTAGATAGGACCCTAAGGCTCCCAGGTCCCTCCAGAAGGGAACTCCAGGAGTGTCTGAGGTGACCTTAGTGGCAGTGGTATTCCTCAGGTGGGGAATGGTTGTTCCTTGAGGGGAATGGAGCAAAATGAGCTGAGCTGGGCTGGGAGGCTAGCTCAGTGTGAGAAGGTAGGTGGGATTTGGAAAGCCCAGTGGAGAAAGAACCTTCCTGGAGGGAGGGTCTCATGGAGCTGATCATGAGTGAAGGGACTCAGAGGACTGGCCAAGCAGCCACAGAAGACTTGAAAAGCTACATAGGAGAAGCCGATGTAAACATCATTTGCCAAGGCTTGCTTGCTCCTGTAGGTTAACCGTCTTCAGCTGCCGGTCTGAGCTGGGAGGGCGGTGACGCAGTACCTAGAGAGAGGAGGATGCGTGTTGGGTAGTGGGGACAGGTTAGTGGGAGTCCTCATTCTGTCTGTAGTTCCTTCTGTGTCTGTCCTGAAGAGACTGCAAGAGGAACTGCTTGCCTGAGAAGGGTTGGGTGAAGATCTTGACAAGAATTCTTTTGGAACCTGTGAGCTCTTCAGGCCTGTGTCCTGACTGACTTGCCCACAGTTGGGGCGAGACGGGAGTCATTCTCAGGCAGGCACCTGGCCCATCACTGAGGCGGAATCTGAAGCGGCCGAGGTGGTTCAGCTGCTCACTGGCGTTCTCTCTTTGCAGGCACCTCGGAACCCTAACGTTGAGCGGAGCCAGGCCAGATCTCCTGGAGTAGTCATGATTTCAGGCGGTGCAGAGTCATCTGTGAGGAAGCCTTTGGGAAGCTCTCCCTGGGAACACTCGTGGCTCTTGTGAGGGAAGGGCTGCGAGGCTTGGGTGGGCGGACGGCTGGGCTGCAGCTATGGACCGAGAGCTGGCCCAGCCCCGCATCCTTGCTGAGCCTGCCCAAGTGCGGCCGCTCCCACCATGGTCTCCTCAGTGTACATCACGGTGGAGCTGGCCATTGCTGTGCTGGCCGTCCTGGGCAACGTGCTTGTGTGCTGGGCCGTGTGGATCAACAGCAACCTCCAGAATGTCACCAACTTCTTTGTGGTATCACTGGCGGCGGCTGACATTGCAGTGGGTGTGCTCGCCATCCCCTTCGCCATCACCATCAGCACCGGCTTCTGTGCCGCCTGCCACGGCTGCCTCTTCTTCGCCTGCTTCGTCCTGGTCCTCACTCAGAGTTCCATCTTCAGCCTCTTGGCCATCGCCATTGACCGCTACATCGCCATCCGCATCCCACTCCGGTGAGCCAGGGCTTGCGTCTCTACGTAAGGCTTGATCTGCGGGCACAGAGGGACAGGGCTCTCTGGGTTTTGTCTCAGTCTTCACAGAGCTGGAGGTGGCCATGCCTGGTCTGGCTTATCCCTATAGGTACAGGGTACCCTAGCCCTCCCCACGTCACATATTGAGGCTGTCTATAGGCAGCCATGTGTGGCTACTGTAAGATGAGGGTGGCCTGTCTCTGCTACTCCATGCTGCTGTGTGTGAGCTCTTCTTCCTACGTCTAAGTATGATCTGAGATGGGTGGGGAGCCATGAGAAACCACAGAACCTCAGCTAGCAACCCGCCTCTGCCACCACCAGCAGCCTTCCCCCAGTGTGTGTGTACATTAGGAGAGTGACCCAGAGAGGGGAAGTGACTTGGCCAAACGCCACAGTGAGTCATTTGGACTTCTATGCAAATTATGTTGCTCCTAGATCGGAGAGGATTCTGCCTGCCTCAGGGGATGGCTGTGCGAAGGGGTTTTTAGAGTGATTCTGTTGTGAAGTGACTTCAACCAAGTATAGTATTGTGTAATGAAGATCTTCCCCGAGGCCTCTTCCCAGCCACCCTGTAGATAACCCAGACAGTTCATGACTCTCTCGGGGACTCCACCCCTGTGCTTTCTACCAGAGCTAGGTCCTGTGGCCAGCGTGGCTACAGGCCTTGAGGAAGGATTCCATAATGGGGGATTAGAACGCATAGTCCCCATGGTGAGTTTTTCTGCTCAAGTAGAGTCCCCGCCCACAGAAGAAACATTAGTGACTCTACTGTGGGCAGAGGGCAGCCAGCAGTAAGGACCAGGCTCGGTGAGCAGTGGTAATCAGGGTCAGATGCAAAAGAGCCTTTAGAGATCATTTCCTTCCCCTCATCTTCTGGATAGAAAAAGGAGGCTCTGAGAAGGGGGCTAGGTCTCTCTCAGCCATCCAAGGAGTTGATAGCAGAGCCTGGGAAGAGGTGTAGCCCGCCATCACTGTGAAATCAGTCTTCGAAGACTGCCTGGAGTGACTCAGTGTCCTGGACGGTACATCACACAGCGGTTCCCATAATCTGAGTCCTAAGGGAGACGCGAACACCCACAGCTAGGCTACTCAAAAGGACGGAGCCTGTGCCTTGGGTTGCCTTAAAGACTTTGTCAAAAGTGACTCAGCCAGGCATGGTAGCAAGCACCCATGCTTGTATCCTGGAGCTTGGCAAAAGCTAGAGCCTGAGGATGGTGAGCTGCAGGCCTAGCCAGGAGCCTGCACTCAGACCCCTGTTCAAAGAAAAGACAAATAATCAAACGAAATAACAAACAAAGGGGAGGGACTTGTGGCCAGCTCTAAGAAGTGACAGGAGTAAAGGTCACCTGTGGGGACAGCTCGCCCCATTGCCTCCACCCTGTGCTTCTACAGTAGACCAAGGTCTAGTTTCCCGCAGTGACAGATTAGAACACAGAGGCCTAGGGGGAGTCTGTGTATGGGTCCCCAGGGGGGTCAATGGCATCTACCCTGGGAGTCTCCAGGACCCATGGCATCTACCGTGGGAGTTAGGCTCAGCCATGCAGTAATGGATCACCAAGAGGGAGCAGTCGCTTAACATTCTCTTTCTCCCAACTCCCAGCAGCAAGATATTAGGAAAGACGAGGGTGGCTATTCTCAAGTTAAAGGCATCAGCTTGCTTTCCTCTCCTTGCCCTCTCATTTTCTCAGAATCCAGAGACGGAATCCTTAAAATAGGATGGGCTAAGTTGTGTGCCTGTAGAAAGCTCGCTACCCTGTGCTGGGCCCGTCTTCTCCTGTGTAACAAGGAGACAAGTTTCTATGTTGTCCCTGTGAGCTCACAAAGCTCTGTGGCTTCAGTCAGTGGGCAGGAATGATGAGACTGGGCAGGGTAATGGGGGCAGGATGCAGCTCTTTTGTGAGATGGAGGCTTGGAGCCTAGCCCTACTGTAGTTGCGTCCCTGACCCCCAGAACCCCCTGACCTCAGTTCCACTTGGACCTTGAGCCATCTGAGCTCTGAGTGGGGCTTCAAAAAGCACAGGCTAGTCTCTGCAAGGAGCTGATAGGTCTGAAGATGCCCACTAAGGATGAATATTCATGTTGCCTAGGAGCAGTTTTAAAGCTGCCATGGAGTATATCCTTTGATCATCCTGGTCCAGCATTTCAGCCAGAGCAGACATCATGACCCTAGTGAGATACCAGAGCCAAGAAAGGACATCTCTGTGTCTCCCAAAATGAATGGACTCTAGAGCCCACCCCTGTGTTCCTGGCTATTGAGCCCCTATCCTCTGACTTTTCTGGTTACTGAGAGTGTGGAGGTGTCTGTTCAGGGGCTCCTGAGAGCAAGCCAGGCACGATGGGAAGATGGAAGATACCAGGGGACCAGGCATGAGGGGTTTCTAGATGGGGACCAGGGGACCAGGCATGAGCAGGCTTTGGAAGAGATATGGGGACCAGGCATGAGAGGTTTCTGGAGGGGACCAGAAGACCAGGCATGAGGGGAATGGGGAGGGGGCTACACACCCTTGGCTAGCTCTGGAGGTGTTCTCTAGCTTAGACTCTCACTTTCTTCCCTTCACAGCCTCCTCTAAAGTACTTCCCGTGCTATTAGCAAGGTCCACAGGCTCTAGTCTTTGATGGAGGCATAGTCCCAGGCTTGCACCAGGCACCAGGAATTCTTTGGTTGTTCTAAAGAACTCAGCTTCAGAGTACTCAGTCCACTCCTTCCTGAGTGTAGGGACCCTCTTAAGGCAGGGCCTCTTGGGTGATAAAGAAAATGGGCCAAAGGCAGAAATGAAGCTCTGTGTCTGCAAGGAATGAAAAGCTTGGTCTAAGAGACCAGGCTCCCTTTCCTAGGGGCCCTTTGCACCACTGTCTGCAAGTCTCACATCAGCCTCTGGTCAGTTGGTGCAAGACCTGAAGTCCTATAAAATACACTTCTCTATTTCCAAAAGGGCATGAGGACCAGGCATGTGCACAGTGGTAGAGTGCTTATGTAGCATGCCTGAGGTCTTCAGCTATATCTCTACCACCACAAAAGGGAAAGGAGATAAAGAAAAAAGGCTTTCCATTTGGCCGTAAGCCCCTGCTGGACTAGAGGCCCGGCTCAGTGGTAGAATGCTAGTTGCTTAACATATGTGAAGCCCTGGATTCCATTCTTCCCTCCACAGGAGTGCTGGTGAGGGTGCAGAATTGGGAGACGGTGTGCCCTGGAGGAAGTCTTGCCATATTGGTGTTACAGGATGTGCATGGTCTTGATAGGGTGAAGTCAGGGGAAGGTGCCAGAATGGTAAAACACTGACAAAGGTCCCAGGGAAGGAGTGAGTGGGCATGTCGGTGTGGCCTCTCTGGGCCGGAGAGTGATCCCATGGCTGCTGGGTGGTAGGTGTGGTGTGAGGCTGATTTAGGCTGGTCTCTGCCTATGAAAGGATTTTGAGTTTCTTCTCTGGGCAAGATGTTATTCAATTCTTAGGTCATTGGCCCCTTAAGGTGACTTGGAAAGTTGCGCCTTCTCTTCAATGTTGCAAATCCACATGAAAACTCCACCTGGAATCGTGGATATGTTCTGGAGCCATGGGGTGAGCCCCAAGTATGGGTAATCAGGATTCTCAGGGAAGGGCAACTTGTACAGGCTGGAGGATATAGAGGCCACTTGAAAATAGGAGCTGCCAGAGACTCTGGCCCCCCGTCCTATACTTCTGACACCCCTGGAATGACTCCCAGTCATGGTAGGCAGTCTGGGCATCCTTCTAGCTGCACAGAATGTATTTATCCAGGAGGCCTGAATGAAACTGTGTTAGTCACAGATACAGGCCAGGATGTGCCCTTAGGGTAGCTATGGTTTGTTCATGATTCCATGTGGGCCCTGATGCCGTCCTAGACCTCAGACTTCAGCCCCACGACCTTGAATTTTTGATTCTCTTGCCTCTATTTCCAAGTGCTGGAAATATAATGTGCTCCTATTTGATGTGTGTGTGTGTGTGTATGTGTGTGTGTGTGTATGTTTAAATAATACTTGCATGTGCTTAAACATTCAAGAAGAGCACAGATCACATAATCACATGTCTCCAAGCCCCTCAGTACATCGCCAACATAGGAAAGTACATCTTACATACTTGGTTCTGTCCCCATAGGGGCTTTCTTTCTAGAATGCAGTGGAAGACTTCCCCTGGTGGATCCCCTGTCTTTAAAAGTAAACTGGACAAACCAGGGATTTCCGTGGTGTGTTCCCAGAAGCTCTCGGGCCTGGCCGAGAACTTGTTAACTCAGAAGCCTCTTATTCAGTTGGATCCCTTCTCCAAGACTATGTCTTTCCAACTCCCTGGACAGGGGCAAGTAGGCCTGTTCCGAGAACAGTTTGAAAGCCGTCAAGTGAGAGTCCCTACACCATTCCTAGAAGCCCACCAGTATCCCGGGCAGCCCATTTCTCTGAACAGCAGCTGAATAGCTCTGATCCACCCTGAGCCACAGAGTGGGCCCCTGGGGTTTCCATCCACTAGATTCAGCGTCTTGCCCTTATGGGGCAGTGGTGACAGGTCTAGAATTCTTAGTTTCATTTTATAAATGAGGAAATTGGGGCCCGGAGAGATGAAGTGACATGGCATTCCTTGTTTACAGGAATGCACCAGGCCTAGGACCCAGGAAGGGTGTGCTTGTCCCAGGACAGATGTGAACAGTCACATAGATTCCCCTCCCACGAGGATCATGTAAAGCACTGTTGAGGGGTGCCTGGCACAGAGTAAGTAGATGGGGTGGGGACCCTAGGACTTCATGGCTGAGCCTCCAGACAAACACACATGCTGGCACTTGGTGGACCTAGTAAGTCTGTGACCCTCCGGCAGAGATCCTGTTGCAGGTGACCAAGGGCTGCGACGCTCCTGAGAAGGTGCCTGACAGTTACTGTTGGGATTCTGAATTGACAGGGCTGGAGGGGTGGCTCCATGGTAGAATGCCTGCCTGTCATAGGCAAGGCCCTGGATTTGACCCCCAGCACCATGGAGGAAGGAGACTAAAAGATTCTGAGAAATTCACCTGGGCTTGAGTTGCCCCTGGGCCCTGGAACGTTCAGAGCAAGTCCCGGCCTTGCCTTGGGTCTCAGTTTCAATTTCCCCAGCCCTAAAACAGAGGAACAGATTAGATGAGTGGTCAGAAACTACTAGGGTTTATTTATTTCTTTATTTGGTAACATTTAAAATGAGAGTTGGGTTTTTTTTTTGCCTCAAAAAAAAAAAATCGCACTCGGGAGGCAGAGGCAGGCGGATCTCTGTGAGTTCAAGGCCAGCCTAGGCTACAGAGTGCGTTCCAGGAAAGGCACAAAGCTACACAGAGAAACCCTGTCTTGAAAAAACAAAAAGCAAATCAACCATCCAGTCCTTCTTAAGATATAGCAATGCTAGGTACACATTCCCTTCCTTCCTTCCTTCCTTCCTTCCTTCCTTCCTTCCTTCCTTCCTTCCTTCCTTCTTTTCTCCCTTTCTTTCTTTTGTATGACACTTGAACTTCGAGCCTCATACATGTGAGGTTAGTTCTATCTTTAACTCTGGGCATACATGTTGCATCGCCATGAAGACAGAGTAAACACATACCAGCCTTCTTCCCATGCCTGTTATCAGTAAATACTTGGGTCTGCCACCCATAGGTGAGAGCCTTTCTGTAGCTGCTTTAAGTCTGGAATCAATAAGGGTGTGTGTTGTCCTTGTTACCTACCGTAGACTCCTGTCCCCCAGCTGGCAATACAGAGATAAATGCAGGAGACTCCAAGTGGGCTCCCAGCCTCAGATGAGACAGGAAGCTTCTCCAAGATGGCTAGCCTGAACTTGAAGAGTCAAAGTTCCACAGGGCAGTGGGAAGGGTAGTCTTGTTTTGTCAGAATTGGAACCATTAAACTTAGGTTCATCCCTCAGGTGCTACCAAAGCTCCTCTTATTCAGTCAAGAAGACTTTAAAAAATACCCACTCTTTTACTGCAGTAATGATGCGTGTCCAGTGGAGCTGACTCTACTGCCTGGTTGACAAACCAAGCCCTGCTCCCCCCCACCCCCACCTTGGGACTGGCAGTCAGCACAGTAATATGTTCATTTGGCCCTCAGGCAGATTATTGTCTTATTTCACACCCCATTTGGTACCTTTTGATTATTAAGATTGCCAGGAAAATGTCAAGACATAATTGTCTCGTTTCCACCCAGAGGATTGTGGGTGGGTTTGGAGGGGGGATGGTATCTCATTTGGCCTGAGACTTCCACCCCTCCTCCATGCCCTGGACAGCCTTTTCTTGGGGTCCTTGGAGATTCAAGACAAATGGGGGAGACCAAGCATGGAGTATAAGTGGCTCAGACCGTCTACAGGTCTGACCTTGCTGTCTCTGTCCCCTCCCTGGACCTGTCCTACTCTAAAGGAGAGCATGTTATAATATGAACCAAGATTAACCAACTTGGAAATGGCCTTTATCCCCTCTAAGATCACCTATTTCTCTCAAACCAAACTCAAATGAAGTCTCAGGGCCCAACTTGACGAATAACACCTGAACATTTGTGTGGTAGTTTCCATGTCCTGAATGTCCCCTTCCCGTTACCTCCCCACAGCTGGGAGAAAGGCGAGGCCCAGTACCTCACTTAGAAGAGTATACAACTGAGGCTAGGAGGGAGTACTTAGTCAAGACCCTATCGGCGAAGCACACAGGGACCATCCGGGCTTCTGTGGGCTTCTTAGCGTGCTTCATCACGCTTCTAATGCCAGTCCTCTCTCCCCAGGTACAACGGCTTGGTGACAGGTATGAGGGCCAAGGGCATCATTGCAATTTGCTGGGTGCTGTCGTTTGCCATCGGCCTGACCCCCATGCTGGGCTGGAACAACTGCAGTTACCTTAAGGAAGACCAGAACTCCACACAGCCCTGTGGCGAGGGCCAGGTGACCTGTCTGTTCGAGGACGTGGTGCCCATGAACTACATGGTGTACTACAACTTCTTTGCCTTCGTGTTACTGCCCCTGCTGCTCATGCTCGGCATCTACTTGCGGATTTTTCTGGCTGCCCGGAGACAGCTGAAGCAGATGGAAAGCCAACCCCTGCCAGGGGAGCGGACTCGGTCCACGCTGCAGAAGGAGGTCCATGCCGCCAAGTCCCTGGCCATCATCGTGGGGCTCTTTGCCCTCTGCTGGTTGCCACTGCACATCATCAACTGCTTCACCTTCTTCTGCCCCTCCTGCCAACATGCCCCTCCGTGGCTCATGTACCTGGCCATCATCCTCTCCCACAGCAATTCTGTTGTCAACCCCTTCATCTATGCCTACAGGATCCGCGAGTTCCGCCAGACCTTCCGGAAGATCATCCGCACCCATGTACTGAGGCGGCAGGAGCCCTTCAAGGCAGGGGGTTCCAGTGCCTGGGCCTTGGCATCTCACAGCACTGAGGGAGAGCAGGTCAGCCTCCGCCTCAACGGCCACCCCCTGGGGGGATGGGCCAATGGCAGTGCCCCCCATTCTGGACGGCGGCCCAATGGCTACACCCTGGGGCTGGTGAGTGGAGGGAGTTCCCAAGGGTCTCCTGGGGATGTGGAGCACCAGGAAGGAGACCCGGAGCACCCTGGCCTAGGGGATCAGCTGGCCCAGGGCAGAGTAGGAACATCTTCATGGTCCACAGAGTTTGCCCCTTCCTGAGGGAAAGAAATCTTTATCTTTTTGGTTGGCTGGACCAATCTCACCGAGAGAAGACGAGCAAGACCACGCCAGGAAATCCACTGGGCTTCTGGTTCCCACTTTGTACTAAGAAGAGGGACCATCAAGCTGGAGCAGCATGTAGCCCAGTAAGAAAGGCCTGGGGTGGAGGAAGCAGATGCTCTGTGCTATGGGGCCTTGTGTTAGGCCGGAGTTGCAGCCATAGCAGCAGCAGCAGCAGCAGCAGCAGCAGCAGCAGCAACATCTTCCAAGGCAAGGCCCAGTTCCCCCACTCCCGAAGCATCAGAAAGCTCTCTCTTGTCTCTCTAGAGCAGCTGTGGCTTGGAGGACTGGCCTGGCCTGGCCTGATGCTGAGGTATGGCTGCTTCAGGCCTCCCACCATAGTACACTACCCTCCCCAGACCGTCTAGGGCTCAGGGAGCTGCTGGCCTAGAAGTGGCACTTGACTACTTTTTTTTTTTCTTCCAGAAGATAAAAATGTGAGGAAACCCTTTCTATTTTATTGACTTCCCTCCCCGGCTGCTGGGTCTGTTGTCCATCCTGCTCTTATCCCAAGGAGTGGCCGGCAGCCCTCATGCTGCCGCAAGCTGCCACACACTTAGTCGTAGGGCCATCTCGGGGCAACAAGGCTCGGCTTGAAGACAGGAACTGTGGAGGGAATCGTGCCAGAGTGTGGGCTCTCAGGTCCCCTGAGGGAGGTTTGAGCTGTCAATCCATGGACCTGAGCCTGGGTAGCTCAGAGCTGCCTCTGTCGGAGACCCTGTCTGATGCCTTTCCTTCCGGGAGGGGCGGGGGTTGACTTTTTTGTTTGTTTGTTTGTGGGTTTTTTTTTTTTCTGACATAAAATAAAATGAGCCACACTCGTGTTTTAAATTTGTCTGCTAAGAATGATGTCTGAGTTCTTTTCTTGACTCCATAGCTCAGGTCTGATGCACACACATGGGCTCACGTGATTATGTGTGAGAGAACGTGTGTATGGACAGACAGACAAAAGCTACACCATTGCTTATCCTGGGAATTTTCCAGGCTCCTATTCTCCAAGAGGACAGGCTGCCTGGTTACACCAGAACCCAAATGCCTATGTGTTAGGGTGAAGTGGGGTGGCAGACGTACATCTCCTGTGGGAGACGCGCTCATTCCTCAGAGGCGCCTTCAGGGTCACGGACCCCTCCTGTCCTAAGCATTGGAAGTGAGAGGACCTAGAGTCTTCTTTCTCTCCTTCCTCACATCCTACAAGAAGACCTGTCTGTAGGTCATCTCAGAGCTGTGTCCATCACTCCTAACCCCCGCTCCAGTCCCTAGCCAAGAGGCTACAGCGGTCCTGGAAACAGAGCTGGGCTGAGGCAGAGCTGCCCTCCCTCCCTTCCAACAAAGAAACCCCTGAGACACTGTTCCTGCTTCAGTCTTGGCCTCCGGGTCCCTGCCTAAGGAGATGCTGCTCTCTCCCGGGGATGGAGGCCGATGACAGTCTGGGGTGAGTGGGGAGCCGTGACAGGGCCCCGAGGGCCAGTTAAGTATTTCTTGGGCTGTGATTCAGGAAAAGGGTGTTAGAATTTCGTGGATGATGCTCACGCCACCCTGGGAGCCTTGTATTGCATGTAATGGACAAGCTCAGAGAGGCTAAGTTCTTGCCCTGGGTCACACAGCAAAGCAAGTGGCAGAAGTGAATCAAAATCCAGGTCCGCTCGGCTGCGACACGCATACTTTTTAGAGTTAGTGGATGGTGGACTCTCTCAACCAAGCCAAACTGTGTGCAACAATGTCTGTTATCTTCAACTTAGGAAGCATCGCTTCAAGTGGTACGCAGCTTTACTCCCAGCAGCATTCAGGAGGCAGAGACAGGGGGATCTCTTGAATTCGAGGCCAGCCTGGTCTGTAGAGTGGGTCCCAGGACAGCCAGGGCTACATAGAGCAACCCTGTCTTGAAAAGAACCAAAGGAAGGAAAGAAACATTACTTCAGGTGATCCACCTGGCTCGTCCATTACCCTCTTCATACTTTCCCTTCCCGCAGAGGCAGATATACATGCAAGTTGCTGTCGTCCTCTTCCACCGTCCCATCAATCAGAGGTCCTTGTGGCTGACCCAGGAGAACCCTCTAGGACACTTCTCAGCAGCTCTGAAGCCTGAGTGTACTGCCCTGCGTGACTCTCCGCCGTCGTTCCCACATACCTTAGGTCCGTACTATCTGAAGATGGAACAGTGAATGACCTGGGCTGTGTGTGAGGAGGCAGGGAGCAGGGATGCTGCCGCCATCACTTGGTCCCCAGTTGGTAGAAGACCAGAAAGAACCACACAAACAGAAAAGGAAGAAATCCCGTTGCCCTAGCCTTTTCTGGCAACGGAGCTTTTGGGCTGAACTGTGTAGGTGTAGGCTTGGGGGTTGGGAGATCAGGATGAGGGGCTTAGAAAGGACTTCTAGGTACAGCTGGGATGTGAATGCTTTCAGTCAGCCCAGGGCCAGCTCTGGAACCCAGGCTTCCTTAAGTCTTCAGGATTCAGTGTCCCATGTCCGCATCTACCCCAGGTAGGCTCCCACTGTGAGCGGAGAACTTCAGTATGAGGACACCACGTGTCTAGACACAAATAGATACATGTCGTTCCTCCAATCATAAAACTGTAAGTGTTCATACATGGACCTTGCAAATGGGGGCAGTAAAGAAACTGCCGACGTGGCCAGTCCATTGTATGGTTAAGGTTTTCAATGTGACCAAGAGAGAGCAGAGAGAAAAGGCAGAGTGAACGTGGCCAGCAGGATAAACTTGGGTAGGAAGGATAAACCAAGTGGCCTCTCACATAAGAGTGACAGAGACTTACCCGCTGTCTGGACAGCCAGCCCGTGATCCTCAGTGGTGATATCAATGGCTGTGTTGGGGGCAGAGGTCATCAGTCTTTGACTGCCACACACGGCAGCATCAGCCCTCAGCCGCCAGACAAGAAGAGCTGAGAGATTTTCCTATGGAGGAGGAACTTGAACTGGCTTACTTTAACGAGGCAGAGAAGGACAGTCACTCCAACAGTGTGGCAGTCTGGCAGAAGTGAGGCATGAGAGCGTTATTTGCCCAGTAGTGTGTGTTCCCACACTTGAAGCAAGCTCAAGCAATGGAGCCCATTGCTGCCCATGTTCTTTGGAGATAGCCTCAGCTGCTACTACCAGAAGCTGGTGTTTTGTCTACCAGGGAAGGCCTTTTTTCATTAAACACGTTAAATGCCATATTCAGATCTCTCTGGGAGGTTTGAGGGCCACCATCTAATCTATTGACTATACCTGATTTGAAACAAACTTGAATTGATTTTAGTTAATGGCTTCAGGCTTAACCTTGACAACATGTGCAGAAAGCTAAAGCTTATCCCTGTAAATGAACTATATTTGTACTTAGCACGACTACAGACATAGTTCTGAGCACATTAAAGAACCCAATCAGAGACTGATCATTAACTTGCATGTCTTAATAATCTTTAACAGCTGACAAGCTAGTAGCTTTTTAGGACCTTGTGGTTTTATCCCTGTTAAGTTTGAGCCTTAAAAAAATCTGAATTGAAGATCCCTCAGCATCAAAATAAGTCTTTAAACCATAAATACAGCCCACAGAGAGACTGGAAACGTTACCTTCCTGGTCCTTTCACAGTGAACTTTTACAGAACATCACAGTCTCTTGTATGACTCAGTTTATCCAAACAACTAAAGCTTACCAATGTTAGCAAAGACAAAGAGGCTAGACAGACATCTTCAAGTCAGTTTTTGCTAGCCTGAATGGACCTCAGGAACTTATAAACTTTAATCTCAAACAGGTGTTTAGTAAGTCCTATTTATTGAATCCAAGTTACAGGTGTATATAATATTCTGTAGCAAATTAAGATTACCTATATAAGGGGTTTTATAACCATCAATGCTATTTGTCACATGTTTTAAGTTAACTTTTTTGTTACAGATTTTGCAGTTGTTGTTGTTGTTGTTTTTTAACCACACTCAGTGAACTTACAAATCCTGAGATAAAGTTTAAACACTGGTCTTAGATTTTTTTTTTAACAGAGTGTGAAGAAGGCTTAGAGATAAGAGATCGTTGAGACTGAGGTGTAGAGAAAGCTTAGAGATAAAAGATTTGGGGGATCATTTGCTTGTGCGCTGGCAGAAGTAGTTACAACTTGATACATAGACAGTGGACACCCCAGCAGGAGTGTCCATAGCAAAGCAGATAGTGAAGGGCAGGAGCCACAGCATGCTGGTTCTGGTCGAGGACCCCTCTGCCCTTTGAAAACTTTTTGTTTTTGTTTTTGTTTTTGTTTTTTTTGCTTTTCGAGACAGGGTTTCTCTGTGTAGTTTTGCGCCTTTCCTAGAACTCACTCTGTAGCCCAGGCTGGCCTCGAACTCACAGAGATCCTCCTGGCTCTGCCTCCCGAGTGCTGGGATTAAAGGCGTGCACCACCACTGCCCGGCTGAAAACTTTTTGTTTTTAAGACAGGGTCTCACTATGTATTCCCGGCTGGCCTGGAACTCACAGAAATCCACCTGTCTCTGACTCCCGAATGTTAGGATTAAAGGTGTGTGAGCTTTATTCAGGCCTGTTCTGAGAACATGGGACCCACCATATATTCATATCCACTGGCTTCCAGGCCATCTCTAGGGCAAGAATGACAGGACCACAAGGAGGCCCCAAAGCAGAGACCGGTCTCGGGCTGGATCTCAGCCAACCTCACCCCCCTGAGAATCGGGCTTCTGGGGCATCTCCTGGCTCTGCTCTTTGCCAGATCTTGAAGCCCTGACTTTGTAATTCTTTCCATTTGCATGAGGCTCCTTACTTCCCAGTGAGAGGCATCACGAAAGGGGACTCGTGGAGCTTGAGGAGTTGAGGGGAACCACAGGTCTATGTGTTGACCACGGAGGGGCAGATCGTAGGACATGGAGGAAGGGTTTCTGACTGAGGAGAAATGGCCTGTTGATGCCCCCTGAATTTCCCCAGAAATGGGAAATTGACCTTCTTTTAAATTCTAACGGGGAAGCTCAGTCTTTAGTCCCAGCACTTGAAAGGCAGAGGCTTGTGGGTCTCTGTGAGTTCAAGGCCTGGTCTACATAAATAGTTCTAGGACAGCCAGCCAGGGCAATGTAGAGAGACCCTGTCAAAATAAAAAATAAAAATAAATTTAACAAAATTGTGAAGGGAACACAGGACCCAAAAGGTCCATAGAAGACAAATGTGGGAGAGTTCTGTGGAGCCTACCGGGATTCTGGGCTGTGGGAAAGGAAGGTCAAGATTGCGTCTCTCCTGACCTACACCTCTGTCTTCTGGTTAACCTGCTGACATTTATAGCCTAGAATATGAAGGGGTTCTCCCACTGAGATCTCAGCTGCACAAGGCTGCCACCCTCTGCTGCTGGGAAGTGACTTGAGTGGGGACAGCACTGAGGAGACCCAGAAGTTCTGAGAGGCAAAGTGACTTTGGGCCTTGCCCTAATCTGCTCTCCTGCATCCTCAGGCACCCTTCCTTGTAGCTGTATTATCGGTAACGGTCAGCGTTAGGGCAGCCTACCAGGCCTCAGAACCGAGAAAGAGGTCCTCTAGAGAGGGGCTAGAGAGAATATGGAGCCCAGTTATGGGGATCCCTTTCTAGACCTGTAGCTCCATCTCTTCCTGTTAAGGAAGTTTTATTTATTATCTTAAGTCAATAAGTGTTTTATCTGCATGTATGTCTGTGCACCACATGTGTGCCTGGTGCCCGTGAAGGTCAGGAGAGGGTGTCAGATTTCTTGGTGCATGGTTTACAGATGTTTGTGAGCTATCATGGGGTGCTGGGAACCAAACCAGGGTCCTGTGCAAGAGCACTAAGCTGATCCATCTCTCCAGCCATCTGTCCTTTCCTTTGCTGGTATAAAGTATACCC